CAGACAAGCACGCAATTTTGTATATCTCCAACAATAATCATATATATAATGGAAACAATAAATACTTATATATTAATCAATATTTATCGAAAAATTATTCATTAATAATTATTTTATTAACAATTATTAATTTTTAACCGTAACAAACTATAATGAACACAATGCGTATATCACTGCGCGTGCTAACTTGCCAACACACTGTCGTGTCTTCTGATTCTAGTCTAGTATTTTCCGGTCTAGTACTTTTCCGAGATTCCGTTTTCCGAAATTCGACTGTCATGGGACAGCACTCTTTGCCAATCGAACACGCTCTTGACACTGAGTGCAGCCAGTGCACCCCAATCGAAAACGCTATATGACAGATCGATCGTGTGATCAATTATCATGTAAAACTGTAAGTAATAAATAATATTTTTGTAAGTAATAAACTGTAAGTAATAAACAATATTTTTGATACATTAACCGCGAAAGTAGGTCTGAATCTTGAGTACAAATTTCCGACGGAGGTAATCGCATGTTTGCTGCGAACCAGGGGCCCTATTCTTGAAAAGTATCGCATACGAAAAACTAGAGAAATACTATAGTATGCGTAACATATACTGTACCCCAGGGGGCCTATTCTTGAAAAGAAACGTATGTATATCAAATGTCCATTTTGATCACGTGATCCTTTTTGTCGCTAAAATAGCCGGTTAGAACAGCTTGTGAAAATTTACCTTTATAGGCCTTCTACAATAAGTCGCAAGTCAGAAGTTCTAAGTGATCTTAAGTCATAATTGGTGAAGTTGGCCAATAGTCGACTTGAACAACTTGGTTAAGACTGGTTAAGACTTCTGACGTTCTGATTTGCGGCTTATTGTAGACGGCCCATTAAGTTTTTTTATGTGCCATGGCCTTTACAGCTCTTCTACAATAAGCCGCAAGTCAGAAGTTCTAAGCGATCATAAGTCGGGGTGATCCCGATTGATCACGACTCGATTGGACACCATCAATCACAGCGACTGGTGCTTAGGAGCTTTGTAGTCTCAAGCGCTGTAACAAGTGGCTCGTGTCCAATTGAGCCGTGTCCAACTGGATGCCACCCTCATAAGTCATAATCGGTGAAGTTGGCCAATAGCCAACTTGAACGACTGCATTACAGTGGCGTAAAAAATATCGCCTTGTTGGTTGGTAGCTGCTCCGCTGCTTGTCGCTTGCTGCGTCCAGTCTGAACCTGAGTATCAATCATATAACTTCATCTCTAGAGCGGAAATGTGAAAAGTGAAAGCTTTTATGAATGTATGTACGAACATGTACACACATACATACAATAAATTTTCACTTTTTACGTTTCCGGGAAAAAGTTACATGATCGATACC